AAAAAAGAAACTCGAAAAAGCACAAATCAAAACAATAGAAAATTTCTATAAGGAAGGTAATCATCATTCTACAACCAGAGAACTGACAGATGACGAAATAGCCATGTTTCGTGCACAGCTACAAAAAACAGGGACTGCTGTAGGATTTTCGTGGCTATTAAGTCCTGAACCAGTGTCAGAGGGAAGTTTACTTGTAAATATAGAGGATTTCTTATTCTCTGCGGAATACTTGTCTGCAACAAATAAAGTAGAGTTTTTTGCTAATAAACTCCAAGTTTCATCTGAAACCATCAAAACGGTTAGCGGAAATACAATTGGCCAAAGTCAGAATGAAAACTGGCTAACCTATAGAACAAACCGTCTGACAGCAAGTAATTTTGGAGCTGTTTTGGCTGCTGTTCGTAGGCAAAGTTATCCTCCATCATTGTTCAAACGCTTAACAGGTACTATGTTATTTGCACTAGTTTGCATATATATAACTCATTTATTGTAGGATTTTATAATATAGGAGGCGTAACAGCTGTACAGTGGGGCATAGCTCATGAATCGGAAGCACTTGCAACATTTAGCAATATTACAAAAAAATCTGTCACTCCAACAGGATTATGGTTGCATAGCTGTGGATTTCTCGGTGCCAGTCCAGATGGTCTTGTGGATGACAATGCAATTGTAGAAGTGAAGTGCCCCTATAAATTTCGTGAGAAAGATATACGGAAAGAACTTGAAGGTGATAAATCGTATATCATTACCCTAAATGAAAGTGACATTTTTGTAAATAGTGATCATGAATATTATGACCAAATACAAGGTACATTAGAGTTAACTGGTCGAAGTGTTTGTTTCTTGGTGGTTTGGACTCCAAAAGACACCATCATTGTTCAAATAAACAAGGACCTTAACTGGTCAAAAAATGTAGACCTTTTGAAACAATTTTATATGGACCATTATATCCCACAAATATTAGAAAGTATTTTTGTAGAATAACTTGATTTTTATCTAATAGAATAGTTTTAAGTTTAAGTAAATTTATTTGTAAATTATGTACATATATTATAACAACTTAGATTTTAAGGCAGTCCAAATCAGATTATAAATAATTATATATAAGTAAAGATTTAATCGTATAATGATTCAACTTCCTTGATCAGGGGAAATTGTAAATTTGTTAGTGCCGCACATGTTTGAAATACTACAGACGCATGTGGTATTAAGGTGGATGGTATCATTCGTAATATTAAATATTGTTTTATTCTATTAATTGCTCTCTCAACATGAATACGAGCTTTAGCTATAGTCTTTGTTCTTATTACTTGCTCACGTGAAAATTGGGGTGTGTTTAAAAATGGAGGAACATTCAAAGAAACACCTTGAGGTAGCAAATCTGAAATTAAAAAACCTTTATCGGCAAGAATCAAATCGCCGGGGACCAGTGTTTGTAATACATCGCAGTGTTCAGTAATTTTTTTATCTGAAAGAGATCCAGGATAAAGTTTACTGGCAAAAACCACAACACCATTGGGTGCAACTCCAATTAAACCCTTTAGTGTGTTCCGATGTTTGTAGGAGCTGTATGTTATTCTTTGCTTTTCCATATTTTTTGATTGAATAGTGCATACCTCTGTACAATCTATTATCATTCTACAGTTGGTAAATGAACTAAAAGAATTTGGCATGCAACATTTATTTTTAAAACGTGATGGACTATTTTTCATTAATTGCACAAATAATATTTCATGAAGAGCAAACAACCACGTTTTAAATATATTTGCCACAGTTTCTCGACTAATATTAAACCTTAAAGCTAAATCGGCATTGAGTAAATTTAATTTTAATTTCATTAATGTCAATAACAGTTGATCGATTTTCGGTACTGACACAACTTGCCACCCCATGAAATAGTTTAATTTCATGTTTTCAAATAATGAAAACAATGTCAAAAAAATGTCTTTTGTGGGTAAACCAGTGTACACAGTCACTAAATGAGAATTCCCTTCAATTTTTTTAAATGAAAAGCTCTGTTTTAAATGTAGCAATTCAGTTTTTAGACTGTTCACTTCATTTTTTAGAAAATAATTCTCTGCATCAACCATGGCACCAAACGGATAACTAGTTCCAGCTGATGAACATGCCATTACAGTTGTCGATGTCGATGGAGTACTTTCAGACACTTGCATACCAACTTCTTCAGCACAGGTGGTTGCTTCGAATTGATCATCTAATCCGGACGGTCCAGGTATTGGCTGGTTAATGTCAACGTTGGCAAGGAAGTGTTTGCTAAAATCTCTGATAAATGATTGACCACATTAGATTTTAACCTTACTGTGACTTTTTTGGCAAAGCTTCTCCCTTAAACCGTTTAGTTATGTTGTAGTCAAAAATGGTCGGTCTGTTTTCCTTATCGCCGTCCACAAAATGGCAACTACAAATCCTCGAGTGCTTTCCAGGGTCTCTATCTTCTCGCCTGCATTCAAACAATTGAAACTATACATATAATACAGAAAAATAACTAATCACCTTATTAATTTTAGCCACTTTCGCAGTTCGAGAGGATCCCGTGGGAATGCAAACCATTTGCAATCGTCTCTTTCACTATAATGTTTACAGGTCGGAGCAAAACACATAACCATTATTACTATTAAGTATCTATCACTACCTATAATCACCTAATTTAAAAATTATTTAAATACTTGGCTGAAGATCGAAGTTTAAATAGCACAACATAACCTAACTTAAAGTATTTATGGTTTTATTCTATTAAAAACTAATTTTAATAACCAATATGTATCGATCTCACTTTGCACTTGTCCGTGTAAGCACGAAAATATACGTAACCGTCTTTATAAGCACAAGAATACTTATAAAAATCACTTAAAAAAATTACCAATGGGGAAAACACACATACAAATCCTTTGTTTGGAACATGGCCATGACCTGCGCTAAAAAAATGGCGGTAGTGACGTCAGAACTTGTGGAGTCTAAATGCAGATCCCACCTCTCTTCTATATCAAGTGGTAATTGATATTAATATTCCTCTCCCCATTAGTGTTCCTACTCTTTTGTCTTATTCATATAAAGAAGTGTACGATATTTTAATACGATTTTTAGTTAGATCCAAAATAGAAATTTAACATCAATCCGCGCTATTCAATAATAGTTCTGTGGCAAATAGACGTAGTCTAATGCTAAAAAAAAACTTCGGTAAAAAATAAAAACGATTTTTAAAAATCTCTATTTTCTCAGAAATATCTCCGAAAGTAGTTGGAATTTTTTCAGTTTCAAAACGGCATTTTGTTCAGCATCAAAATATGCAACGTTGACAAATTTAAACCACCTACTGAGATCCCCATGGTAAATTCGAATTCGAATTTGAATCAGTCTGTGTATTAAAAATGCGTCTTCCTGATCACAATTTGTTTGAGGAGTAATACCGTTGGCTGAAAATTCAATGACAATACTTAGTTGTCATAGCAGCAATTGTTTTAAACGGCCACCAATTTATATAAGATGACAGTGATGACAAAATTTGCTTTGATTTATATTTCACCGGGAGCTGAATAGAGTCGTTGTAACATTTGAAGGCGAGCTCACGTGCTATACTTTGAAGATACGAACTAGAACAAGGTACTCGTAAGTATAAAAGAAATGCTCATTTTTACCGTATTTTCCTCAAAGTGAAAGATCGCTATTAGCTGCACTTTGACGTCCGTCCGCCCGTCCGTCACACGTACTCCTTCTAAACCACTGAACCGATTTTGGCGATATAGGACTCATTTCCAAGGATTCCGTGCATACCCATATTTTTTGGTTTTGCACATGCGCAGTGTCAAAAATTTGGTTTAACGCATGTGCGACGCTAACTTTCTTATTTATGAAGATATTTTTTTTATTTTATTTTATTATCATCCCTCTCTTGTTTTGGGCCCTCAACAGGCATGCGCCCAATTACTGAGTGACCCGCATAATGCTATTTAGAGGTGCAAATGAAACAATATGTAAACAATACGAATATAAGTAAAATTAACGACGTTTCCAAAATGTTGTTTTGCACATGCGCAATGCCAACTTTCTTATTTATGAAAGCATTTAAATGAAATTTTATACATAGGCATTTGGCATAAAGACAAATCTACCACCAGTTGCAACATTTGGTTTTGAGCATGCGCAATGCCAACTTCCTTATTTCCTAAAACATTTAAATGAAATTTAATACATAGGCACTTGGAATATAATCAAATTTAAAACTATTTTTAAAATTTGGTTTTGCGCAGGCGCAATGGCAACTTTCTTATTTATGAAAGCAGTTAAACGAAATATCATATGTAGACACCTTGAATGAAACTAAAACTAACACCGGTTTCAAAATTACTGTTAACGCATGCTGTATGTTTTATTTATGAAGCTATTCAATGAAATTTCTAATGTAGACAATGCTCAATGCTATTTACGAAAGCATTTATAAAAAGTTCCATATGTGGACACTTCGAATAAAAGTAAAACTAATGCCCATTTCAAAATTTGTTTGTAGTTGTATACTCTCCACTATTTTTCATTAAACTGTATAGACTTCGACGCAGGCGGCTCATTTTAAAGAGAATGGGGTAAGGTCTAAGGATCTCGTGCCTACTGGTATTTTTTCCTGGTCCTAGCATTAATATTATTAGGAGGAAAATACGCTCTCGTCATATTATGTTTGCATAATGGCTTTTTAAACTTGCAGACAGGCAGATGGCTTGCCTAATTTTTACACTCTCAATTTCTCAACTCAAACAAACAACAAAAATTCATGTATGTAGGTGGCCATGGTTATTGAATTTTCATAAGGTTTCTTTACGAGAACCTTTTTCAGTTCCCTGACTACATTGACTTCTGATGAAAAAGATACAAAAATCGTTTCATGATTTACTCGAATCCTTTCTAGTGCGTTTGTAAAGGTAAGTTAGCGGGTAATGGGTATAGTAGGTATGGTGTACGTACATGACATGGCTCATTTATTAACTTACCACTAACGGCTAATGTTGTTGAGGTACATGTGTATAATGTGGCTATTACGAAAGCTAATCTAAGAATTGTGTCTGTTTTATATTTTTTCCGCCAATCCATTTTTGTTTTGTGTTGTTTTCTGTGCTTCTTTCGATGTAATCTTGTACTAAATTCGCATCACGGGCGGTCACTGCAAAGATAAACATTATATTAAACTCTTTTAATAGTATAATAATATTATAAGTAGATAGAAGACACAACGTAAACAATAATAATATGCGATCTCCAAATATAGGTATACCGCAAAATAATGTTGGTAAAGAAAATTCTACTTCTCCCAACTTTATGAGAGAGTGTCGCTGTCTCGTAAGTTTAATAATAACAAAATGCACCTTATTTTAGAACATTCGAAATGCTACAGCAAAAGTGAGCGGTAGATCCCTTTTAATGAAGACGCTCTCCGAGAGGATTGGCGCGGTTCGTTCCAATCGGGCAGAAAAGAGCGCTCGTGTATATGCCTAGCTATTGCCACAAAGTAGGTAATTGTAGTAGTAACTAAAGTTGAAGCTGATGTTTATACATAGCGATCAAAAATGAGTGCTTGTCTAGTCACCTTTGGAATTTTTGTTTACATGGGAAATCGTACTTAACTTGATCTTCCAAAGGCGACTCGACCGTCACGCATTTTTGATCGTCCATTTCAGTCATGCTTGCCATGTTTTCGTTTTTTAACGTGCTCATCTGACAAAGGTTTTTTAGATTATGAATTTATACAATGATCGGGTCTATAATAACTGGACCATTTGAAAGTAAATTTTGCTAATTACCCTAATCACTACTCTTGTACTTTTAACTCTTTTAAAACAGTTAGTTCTATTAAGGTAAATACACAACACTAATTTTATTTTACAAGTTAAATAAAACGTTCGTTGGGTAAAAGGGAGAATATATTTTTCATGAATAGAGGCAAATTTTCAAAGGCATCATAATATTAAAGCTTGCACAAATATAATATATTTACACTTGCTTATTTTCCTACCTATTCCTTCTTTTTAAAATCCCGACAGACAGCTTGATACAAGTGAAGGGGTTTCCGTTTATGTTCTACGACATTAGTGTTGCAACAACCGTCTTAATTAATCATAAAATTATTGCCGCAATCTATTACAATTAATGGGGACACCAAAGTTTTATTATTAACTCTGATTTAACCTAGTGAAAAGCGGTACGAGATCGACGTGAACAGCTGTATCACATTTCTTTAGCAATTTGTTAATAGGGCATCTCATTTTATGTAATTATGTTAGATAACCACACGTTCAATTAGTAGCTTAGGCGTTAAGTGGCATCACGACGCCGACGCCTGTGTCGAAACTTAATTGTCTTAATAGCCACCCCTAAATTCATTCCGTCAAGGTGAATGATATTATCTTTATAAGATATTCATATGTTGATTGAAGTGGTGCTTATTATCATGCACGAGATTTTTTTTCGCATTCAAAACCGTTAAAATACGAGGGTTGCGTTTAAAACAAGTTAAAAAGTAATCGTAAACGATTTACATAAAGCGCATTTCCACTTGCATTCATTTCCCATTTGTAAGATGCAACTTCTGTTAAAATCGTAAAAATCCGACCACAAATATAGGGTTTACCAATAGGGACGATAGGATTTTAAACGTTTAAGGCGGCTATGTTGGATGCCAAACATTTGACATATGCTGTCAGTTGTCATCAGTAAGGCTTGCCATTTCATCATGAACAAGTTCACGTTGTCTCAACGCTTGGAAATTATCCAACAACATGCCACACAGCGAACGCTATAATGGACTTATTGCGTCAACAGTTTGGTGAATCGTTGATTTCTCAAAATGGCCCCCACAATTGGCCGCCAAGATCATGCGATTTAACACCATTGGACTTCTTTTTGTGGGGCTATGTGAAGTCAAAGGTTTATGCGAATAAACCCAAGACTCTTGACGAGCTCGAGGCCAACATTCGAGCGACCATAGCTGCCATTCCACCCGATATGATCCACCGAGTTATCGAAAATTGGTCCGATCGGATGAGCCAGTGCAAAAAGAGCCGCGGTGGCCATTTGAAGGATATTTTGTTTAAATCATAAATGGCATGAAATACAGCATCTAATAAAACCAATCAAACCTAAATTTGACCAAATTGACTGTGTTTTATTTCAATTTAAAATCCTATCGCTCTTATTGGTAAACCCGTTATGAAAGATAGCGTTGCACATGGGCAATCCATTGTTGACGTGCTACTTCAATTTCAGTTTATGCGAAGAATTTCATTTCAATGCTTTTCTAAATAAGAAAGTTGGAACTGCGCATGCACAAACCTAAATTATAAAACTAATGTTAGATTTTCCTTTGTTCCAAGCGCCTAAGTATCAAATTTCACTTAAATAGTTCCATAGATAAAAAAGTTGGCACTGCGCATTCGCAAAATGAAATTTTGAAACTAGCGCTAGATTTTCCTTTATTCCAAGTGCCTATGTATCACATTTCATTTAAATTCTTCCATAAATAAAAAAGTTGGCACTGCGCATGCGCAAAGTCAAATTTTGAAACTGGCGTTTGATTTTCCTTTATCCCAAGTGCCTATGTATCAAATTTCGTTTAAATTCTTCCATAAATAAAAAACTTGGCACTGCGCATGCGCAAAACCAAATTTTGAAATTGGCGTTTGCTTTACCTTTATCCCAAGTGCCTCTGTATCAAATTTCGTTTAAATTCTTCCATAAATAAAAAAGTTGGCACTGCGCATGCGCAAAACCAAATTTTGAAATTGGCGTTTGATTTTCTTTTATTCGAAGTGCTTATGTATCAAATTTCGTTTAAATTCTTCCATAAATAAAAAAGTTGGCACTGCGCATGCGCAAAACCAAATTTTGAAATTGGCGTTTGATTTTCCTTTATCCCAAGTGCCTCTGTATCAAATTTCGTTTAAATTCTTCCATAAATAAAAAAGTTGGCACTGCGCATGCGCAAAACCAAATTTTGAAAATGGCGTTTGATTTTCCTTTATTCCAAGTGCCTATGTATCAAATTTCATTCAAATACTTTTATAAGTAAAAAAGTTTGCAATTCGGCTTATAAATGGTCGATATGCGAAAAGGGCACTGTGAATTTTGAATCGATTCGATTCAGCTTTTGGCATTGCGTATTATATGGCTAAATCTATGCCCATATTGAATTTCATGCAATTCAGTTCATAACTAACGGAGATGTAAAAGCGATCGAACATTTCTAAACAAAGTTATGGTTCACACGGACAGATAGATGGGCAGACAGACAAAGGAACAGACGGAGAGATCAACCGGCAGGCGAGAGATAGCAATGCAAAATTATAAACGATCTCTAGGATCGTTAATAAACGGCAAAAGGGTAAAATTATGGAACATGTAAAAAACGGTTTTTTTGTTTTTTTTACAATAACTTTTTTTGTAAGCGGTACAGAAAAAAATCCTTCCTTGGTACAAGACTCGACACCATAACGAACCAAATAGCGAAAAAAGTAGAACAATAGCTCTTAAGATAAAAAACTAGTAGCGTCGCAAAGTTAGCGGACGGACGGACGGACGGACGGACAAAGTGGCCACAATAGCGCATTTTTTTTGTGGAAATGCGCTAAAAAGGTGAAAATGAACTGAAAAGTTCGAAACAAACTGACTTATTAGTTTTGCAGGGTCTATTTATACAGGGTGTTACATGACCGTATGTAAAAAAAAATTGGGTAATAGAGGGGATCAAGACAAGCACTTTTTCCAAATAAACCGAGGGTCCAACGTGTTTCGTTTGGGAGCCACCCCAACAAAAGTGGTGAAATTTGAATTTCTACTTTAATTTTTTTCTCAGCAACCATAAGAGTTACAAAGATGGGTGGCACGTCTTTGAATAGGTTTTCGAGTATGTCCTATCCGATTTTGAAAAAAAATGTACAACATTTTTACCACGAAAGTACACACCCTTAGTTGTGGGTGCGAAAAAATTCTGATTTCGACGAAATTTCGTATCTGGGGTTTTTGAACATGAAAATCACGAATCAGGAATTAGTTTTTGAAAATTCGAAAAAAAAGTTCCACTGCATTTATTGGCCGGACAACGAAAATGGAGAGAATTCCACGAAATTTGTTGTGTACATACTTGACGAGTTAAGGAACAAAAATGTCGAACAGTTTTTTAAAATAATTAAATAACTTTTCAAACAAAAGTAATTTGAAGATTGGGCCTTCGGGTTACAGTGTCCCCTGCCTACTAGTGAGTGAGACGAGCGTTTATATCTACGTCCGTTTCAAACATACATAAAATCGTGTAAACAGTCACACATGAAACGCGCCTAATTATTGACGCCCGTTCTAGAAGTCGATGGTTGTTCCCTTCTGCAACGTCCGTTTGAAGCGTTGTAGCGCAGTGACACAGTGAATAATTAGCCGCGCGTTTCTTGAATACGCATGATGCATTTACTTGTTGATTTGACAACATTGCTATACTCCTATATCTGTGGTCATTTCTTCAGGTGTAATGGCAGATCTCATATTGGTGTTTTGTTGACGGGTTATTGAATGATTTATTTTAGTTACCAGTTCATCAAAATAAGATTGGAACATCCGAAAGTAATTAAAGAAGCGCGGGTACAGGGTATAAAAGCTGCCGTGTGAAAGTTCACCGTTTACGTTTTTTTAAAAATTAATTTAAAAGATAAATACAAAAACATGGCAACTTCTAACTCGTCAGACAGGTCGATATAGTTTGCTGCACCTGAACGCTCGTGTGAGTGTGACTATGACAACGCGTTTCAAATAACGCGCGTCGTGGCGTCCGTTTAAAAACGCTCGTCTGGCCCTAGCTTAAGATGGCAGACAAGCCAAAATGGTCTACAAAACCAATATATTATTTTATTATTAAAATCTGTCCCAAAAGATGGAGAGCCGGTTCGGTACGCGCCGTTCGGGTAGATCTAGAGGTGGTGGCAGTAGTGTAGCTTAGTAGATACTCGAGCATTCTGCCGACTACTCCGAATTAGTAGGTTTTCCTGCAGTTTTCCTAATTCGTAAGATAAATACCGGTGTAGTATAGAACAACTTAAGACCTTCTGCAGGGGCACCGCTAAAAAGCAAGCCTGTTGGTTGAGGATCCAGAACAGGAGAGGGACAATGCCGGCCCATGTGGCG